TCTGGTGAGATGGTTATCTGCCAAGCTTCAAGTTCCAAGGAAGAAAACACTTGACCAATGTCATAGTCAAGCATCCGATTGAACTCTGAAGAATTGTGACTGAAGTCTATGGTGGAGTACATTTGATCAGACTCTTGAGTAGCAGACATTTGATTGTGTTCCTCTGGGAGCATGGTTGAATAAAGATTTGGAGGGGAGCTTGTCTGACTAGTGTCATTTGGGAAGTTCTGATTATGGTCGGCAAGTAAGGCTATCAGGCTGAGATTCATAGAGGAAGATGTTTGATTGAGATCTATGGGAACAGATGTTTCATTGGGTTTATGGAGTAACAATGAATGATCAAGTCTCCTGTCTGAAAATGTGATGTTGGTCTTTCCACTTAGAGGGTGAAAACCCCTTGGAGATAGAGGAACATGCTGTGCAAACTTCTCTTCCCTTTTCTTTTTCCGCGTCTTAATGAAAAAAGAGTTTTTCTTCAACCTACCATTTCCTCCATCCTTTCTTACTTGTAGAAATTTATGTTTAATTCCAGAAAATGTTCGGTTACCACTCTGCTTTTCATGCTCATTTCTAAGAGGAATGCTTTCTCCCCAAGTCCTTGAGGAATTCTGTGAGTTGTTTAACAGTTTATTAACAGCTGTGTTGTCTTCATCATTTTGTGTTATTTCATAGTCACCTTTCTCAGAAATCAAATGCCACTTCCCATTCAAAATCTTTGATGGATTCTTTTGTTTCAAGAGTTGCAGATTATTGGGTAGGTCTGCCAAGGATACTTTTCTAGAAGAGGACATATTGCCTTTCTTTAAATGTCTCCCAGATTTATGTACTGGTAATTCCATCTTGGAGAACCTATACTTTACTGGCTGTTCTCTTCCTGCCTTGTATCCATTATGTTTAACATGTTTTTGGCTTCTAAGTCCTTCTGCACCTGGTGGAAGTAGGCTTATCCTTGTGACATCTGACTGTAGAGGATCGTCTATAGGGTCTTCAGAATAAGGGCTAGAATGCTCTGCTGTGGAAGGGACAAGAACTAAATTCTTGTTTAAGCCACTGTGTCCCAGAGGTGGAAGGGTTGTGGTGACTTCTGGGTCAGGAAGAGTTTTCCAAATTTCTGTGTAATTATTGTCACTGAGCCTAATGTTACTTAGGGAAGAAGAATTTGAACCAATAGCTCTATCAGTACTTGGAGGAATAACTTCAGAGTTGTCCTCGAGAGCTAAGGCAGTAAGATTGAACTCATCTTCCTCCTGATTCAGTGATGAATTTCGGAATGACCTAATTCCTAATGCTAAAGCTATTTTATCCTGGTAATCATCATCATCACCATCCTCCTCATCTTTAGTTTCAGAAGAATCATGTATTTTCCTTGTAGTCTTGGATGTAGATTCTGAAGGTTCATATATAATCTCATATGAGTCATCATCATCATCCCGGAAACACTTAACATCACTGAATCTCAACCTTAGATTTTTGCTTCTTTGATTGGAATTTATGGTGGTTAACATCCAAGTTCCTATAGAAGAACAATAGAGAGAACAGTGAACTCTAAGCCTATGAGAAGATATAAAAACTGCAGTGGGGGATAATTCCCAAAAAATGTTACTCAGGGCTTTCAAGTATGTTTTATAGGCCACTGCTGATCTGTGAACAATTAATATTCTGCAGTGATATATAAAAAAAGAAATTGGGTGTGATTTTGAGCAATCTCACAACAATATGATCAATGTACTTAACTCATTTAACAGATATAGACCAAAACTATTGGACAGTTGTAATTAAGGAAAAGAAAATTTATAGCAGAGATAGCTTGAGAGTCACTATTTTTGAAGTATATTTTAAAAGGGGATGAATTAAGAATAAAATGAACCATAAATACCATAAATGATTCATTATTGTACCTCTTATTTGAGAATTGGAGTTCATGGGAGGATGATGTTTAACCCCTGAGTAAGACTCATTTGGATAATTCTAAGTAATAATTCAGGTGAGCCTAGGGGGATTCTGAATCTTTGAAATTGAGTGATTTTCTGGCACAGTAAAAATTTCCCAAGAAGTTGCTAAAGTTCAATTTATTGACTATCTGAGGGCAAGGTACCTGAGATGACATATAATTAGCAGTCAAAATAACTCTATAAGGTGTTGCTATTCTGTTTTTCAATTGAATTATATGAAGTCAAGTAACTTGTCAAAGGTTATACAGGTATTGACTGGCAAAGCACATTTGAACCAGGTCTGATAACACCATATGGCATTAATTCTTATGCCAGTTTTTAAGGCACTATATTCAATAATCTGTAACGTAGGGTAGAATGGTTATCTTCAAAAACAGAAAAGGACACTTTGATAAAAGGATTGTTTTGTTGTTGTGGAGTACTCATACTTCCTTTTCAAGATTAGTTTTAGCTTTCTGTTCTTTACTTCTCTCATAGCCAAAAGAAATGTAAACAGAACATACATTAAAGAATGGGATCCTTTCAAGTAATTAATTTTCTAAATAGAAATCAAGAGTAGTATTGAAAAGAAAGCCTGTAAGGGATCAAAAACATAAACCCATGAACTGGGATCTCTGAAGACCATTGTAGACCAGAGGTTCCTCTTAGCGTCTAGGCTCTTACCAACATTATCCATTGTAACAGTCACAGATTCCCCACGCATGGGGAAGAGGGCCAAGGTGTCCTCATGCCTCTTTCCATAGGTAAATGAATGCCCAGTGAAGTGAACAGTCAAAATGTCATCCTGGGTTCCCACACTGCAGAAGTGCCACTGGACAGTGTCATCAAAGCAGAATCGTAGTGTGGGTATACTTTCGGGTACATATCCATTGATGGCTGAAAGAATAAAATCTGTTAACATGCTATACCTTTTAACAACAAAGGGCACATGTCTAATGTATCTAAAGTAAATATCCTCATGTTAATTTAGTTTCACCAAGGCAGTGATTATTTAAGATAGTCTTTACCAGGTCTAACATGTGACAAACTGTTCGATCAAACTCAGACTTCTCAAATGAGAGTCAATTTTAGGGAAGTCTCCCTGTTGGTGTAGGGGCTAAGTCAGCACTTTCAGGGCTGTGGCAGGAGTTTGATCCCCAGTCAGGGAGCTAACCCATATATGGCACATCAGACCTCTCCTTTCTCACCTGCTGCTCCCCTTAGCATTAGTAGAGTCACCTGTTCTACTCCACACTCTGTCTCTGTAGAATCCTCTCATATCTCTGGCCTACACCTTAGTTTTACTCAAAAATTAAAAAAAAAAAAACAGAGAGAGTGAGTCTATTCTACTAAGTTAGCCAAGATGGAAATGTCAGGATGAAGATAAAACTTTTCATTCATGTTGATTTATTCATTTGTCAAAAATATATTAAATCCCCCCCCCCCACATTCTGTATTTAAAGCTATTCTGTAAATCAGTAGAGAATATGGTCTAGGATCATTCTATCTGGAGGAAAAGTATAAAAAAAGAAATTATCCTCTTGATATATTAGCCACTAAGTAAGAACTAATGTCCCTAGAAATAAGCATCTTTAGCACATCTTGCATTTTTTATTATTCCCTCTCTGCATTTATATGATCTATAGTTTTGAAATAAGTATTGAATCTATATATTTTCATTATTTTTCAAGGGGACCAGTTTTAGGCAGTATCTTTATTTACTTACATACTAACCATAGTAATAAAATCACACATTATTTCTATGATGGCAAGTCCCACATCTACCTGGGTGACCACTAAAGCCCTAGTCCTTGGATAATGCCTCACAGTAAATATTGAAAATTGACATAATATAATGCCAGTAATTTGCATTTCATTCTGGGAAATTTTGTAAGTGGTCTATAGTTGAGCCATATAGTTGAATCAGTAACCACTAGCAATAAATGGCTATTAAACACTTGAAATGCAGGTAATCTGGATTGAGATGTGCTGAAAGATATATCACCAAGGACTTTCATCACCAAATCTCTGGATTGAAGGTGTGGATAAGAGAAGATTCCTATCCATGTCTCTACCTTCAGAAACAGTTATGTTTCAACACTAGGAATAAAAAAAGAAATGGACAAAATAGTTCTCCAACTTACTACTCATGATGTTTGATTCATAAAACTTGGGGTCATCACGATTCACTTTATCAGGATTTTCACAAAATTTGTTGATGTTGTCCTCAATATACCAGCTCTTGTTCTCATCAAACACTGCAAACACAGCCTGCTGTTCAATGTCTGCTGTCCTCTGGAGGTTGAAAGTGAGACGTTTAGTAATTAATATTCTAACACTTACTGCCAATGTTGAGTTCTCAAAAATCAAAGCAGCACAGCCCTTGAGACCACAAAGACCACATATTCAGGCATTTATGAGAGCTCATTGTAGACAAAGCACATGTTGGAACCAAAGATAATATGCAAAAACCAACAGTAATTCAGAGACTGAAATCTCCTAATAGAAACAACCCAATTCATCATCGCAACTGCAATTCTGTTTATCCCTAACTGAACACCTTTCAACTTGAATGACTGAATGGATGTGCTCTAAATGGCTGCAAGGGTAAAACAGAAAGCTCTCATAAGAAAGCTCTCATAAGAAAGCTTTATAATTCTCCCTGTTTCATTTCCTAGCTCAAATCAAGATCAATATAGTTTATTTTCTGATTTTTTAAAGGCATAGGTTTATTTTGTATGTCTGTGGTTCAGACTTCTTTGGTTATAACTTAGCCTGATTATCTTGAAATTTAAGTTAATACTATGTGGCTGTTAGTCCTTACTGATGATAAAATCAGAAGTTTCATATCTTTGTTCACTTCTGTTCACTTTAGTCTCCCTGGAACTGGACAGTTATCTAGGTCCATCTTCCCTAGAAGCCGTGCCTCTAAGTGTATCTCCCTTAATTCTCTCTAGTGAAGGTCTCTAAAATTGCTAAGACTGATATAGAGCTTTATACTTTTACCAAATGGTATCTCACTGAACAACATGAAATAACCCTGTAAGATGTTTGACAGGAGTAGCACCTATTTGATAGAAAGAAGAAATTAAGAGAGATTAAATCACTTGCTCATCACATAGCCAATAGCAATAGATTGAAATTTGAAATTATATAAATAATACCATTGCAGACTTATCTTCTGCAGTGAGTCTTGATGAAAATAGACAAGACAAAAAATAACCAAAGATAAGCAATAAAAACTTCTTGATACTTGACCTAGAGATGCCTTAGTGACAAACAAAAGAAAAATAAATGAATGGGACTATACCAAATCAGAAAGCTCTACATAAAAAAAGAAAGTATTTTCAAAATAATAAAGCAAATTAGTAAACTGGAAAAGACATTTGCAAATTAAGCTTCCAATAAGGAATTAATATACAAAAAAAAAAA